ATCCTTCACTGTACTCCTAGTTTGTTGATCCTTCCCTTTTGCTGAATGAGGCTCAAAACTGGACACAGTACTCTAGATAGAGCCTCACAAGAGCTGAATGAAGGGGGACATTCACCTTATGCCTAAGTTTCTCCTAATGCAGCTCAGCATGCAGCCTCTATCACTGCAAGAGCAAACAGCTGATTCATGTTCAGCCTGCTGCCTACCAGGATGCCAAGTCGTCTTCTGCAGTGCTGCTATTTATCCAGTGTGACCCTAGTCTGGACTGATGTTTGGGATTGTTCCAAGTCAGGTCCAGGAATTTCCATTTGTCGTCACTGAACCTGATATGGTTCTTGCCAGTGCATTTCTCTAGCCTGCCAAGGACTTTCTGAAAGGCAGCCTTGCTGCATACAGACAATTTTCCACAATTTGATTTCACTGACAAACTTGCTGAGAATGGTGTGAATACACCATTCTGTTCCTCAGGTCATTAGTGAAAATCTTCAGCAGTACTGGTTTTGTCATTAACCCCTGGGAACGCCACTAGCAACCAGCCACCATTTGTACCTGGAATTGCTGGCCACTTTGTGTAAGCTCCCTTATCTTTCCAATTATCTACCCAATTTGTAGTCCACCTATTCCACTGTATCTCAGCAGTTCGGCTGCAAGGATGCTTTGGACTCCTGTGTCAAAAATAATGATAAGGCCAGGGTAGGCAGCATCCACTGCTTCCCCCTCCTCCAGCAAGTCATCTCATCACTACAGGTTCTCAGATTGGTCGCTCACAATTTGCACATGGTAAATCTGTGATGGCAATTTCCAGTCAACCTCTTGTCTTTCATGTGCCTGAACATTGTCTCCAAAAGGATTTACTTGTTTATTTTACAACGGTTATCCTGACTAGTCTGCAGTTGCTCAAATCCTCCTTGCCTTGTAGATGGCCTTGACATAGTGTATAGGACTGTGAGTGAGGTAGATACCATCTCTTATACCTCAGCTCCAATCTGTAGCTGATGCATGAAAAAAAAAAAAAAAAAAAAAAAAAAAAACCAACAAAAAAAAAACACATGTAAAAGGTTCAGATATGAAAATGTTACAGCCATGTACATGTATGAATTTGGAACACATACAGTATTAAAATAAATCCTAGCAGACTGTCTTTTTAAGCAAAATCAGTGACCATCAGCATGGGGTTTCTCTCCTGTCCAGTCTTGAAAGCTGTGCTTCTAAACAAGACATAGTATCAGCTGCAGTCCCTCATTTCAGTGCTCACCTCTGATTAAGATCAGTGTTTAAAGGTAAGCACATGCCTTAGTGCTATTGAAAAATGAGGATGGATTTAAGTGTAGGATTTAAGAGGGAAGAAGGAGCAAACATTGTACCCCAAGTATCCACCTTGCTGCTCCAGTACATCTTTTTATGTCTGCCTTGCCTTTAAATTGAATCTCTGATGCAGACATTCTGTAATAATACTTCAAAGTTATTTGCATCCAGTCTACAGAACCTTTTAGTTCTAGTTTTAAATTAAGGACTCCAGTGGTTTCAGTCCTTGATAAGTAAAGCAGCAGGATTTCACACCAATCACACCAAGGCTCGCTTACGTTTTAGTCACAGCAGTGAAGAGATGCATGAAACTGACTGTACTGTAAAATCTCATTGTTATATGGGTGAGGAAATAGACTGGCTCCAGACAGTAAAACAATCCCAAGATAGGGAAAAAAAATGCATATTGAAGCTTTCAGCAGAGTTATTCAGAGAAAAATGTGTTCTTTTGTTATAGGGGTTGCAAACCATGCTCTAAAGCTAATTAGGCAATAGGAACTGTTCTTGAGTGTCAGCAGGATACTACTAGAGTACTGTACACGTACTTTAGAGATGTTGCACACTCACCTTGTCCCACCGAGCATTGGATTTCAGTAGAGCAGAGTCAGAAAGAATGTGTTTACCTCCAGACATTTTTTTTTTTTTGAGAGGATGATTTGTGTAGCTCTTAAACCTGTTACCTGATACCTGAGGTGTGATATGGCAAAGTGCAGAATTCACATCTTAAATGAAAGCTCTGGATTTGGGGGTCCTGAGAACTATTGATAAGTCATTATCAGAATTCTATGAATATGAAACTAAGGAGAATTCATGCAGTTGTATTGGAAAATTTCCCATACTTTCTTTTTCAAAATTAGTTCACCACGGAAAAATACACTAAAAATGTGTTTGTTTTTTTCCACTGATTGATTTCAGAATTCCTGAAAAATGCATCTGTTGAAAGCCTTGAGCCCTCGTCAAAAACAGCTGAGCTTTTCATATTGCATAAAGCAAGTTATCCTAATTATCTGGTTATTCCCTCCTATGCTTTGAGCAAGTCAACAGCTCTCCACAGTACTGACTCAGCTACAGTCTAAGAGATCCTGCAAAGACTTCTGAAAGTCATCAAAACTAAGCTTTTGAGGGCCAGTGAGTAAAGCCTTTCCTCCAGAGAAAGCCCTCTGCCAGGTCACCCTTGCCATTTAAATCGAGCAGCTTAAGCACTGGAACTAATATGTGTGACACTGTCTCTGCAGGAAGGACCCCACCCTGGTCCTTGAAATGTTGGTGCTGTCTCTCTCTGCCAGTCCCTTTGCAGAGACTCATTCCTGTGCTGATAACACAGCAGTGATAATAGGTATCAGCTCAATGCAGGAATGAGAACTGTTGAGCCTCAGGGGAAATTTAGTCTGTGATAGAGCACATTTTGTTCTGTCCCCTGGACATCTTCGCCTGGACAGAGACGCTGGTTCACGTCGCCTGGGTCTGGGCCCTCTTTAATGACCAGACTGTTGCCAGAAGCCTTGTTTGCTGTGTTACCTCAGTGGGAGGCATTGTAATCAAGGGCTGAATTAAACCTTTGAGCATTTTCTTCTAACTCAGTCTAGAGATGCACCATCGACATAATGCCATCCCTGTCCACTGCCAGCCTGTCCTGCTAGGAACCTACTGGTATCGATATCCATTCCCTTGGATTGCTGCAGGACAGAGTGTGGATGGCCTGGGCATTCCCCTCAAGAAATCTAATCACTCATCAAGGCAGAATATTTTCTGCTTTCTTTTTTCTTTGATTATTTTTCCCTTCATGCCAATCATTTGAAATTAATATTGGCCAGGTAGTGCTTTGCTTTATCTGCCTTGATGGCAGAGGTCCTGGTGAGAATGTTCAGAGGAGTGCGAAACACTTCCCTGTGAGAAGAATTAGCCTGAGAGGCTGCAGTGAGAAGGGGTAGCTTTGAAGAATGACAGTGGAGAACAAAATATCATCTGTTAAAACAAAAAAATCAATATTCCCTGGTCTTCTAAGTCCTGACTGTGGACATTTGGGATGTATTTTTCTCCCAGTGCATGAGTATACCAACAGCCCCATTGATTTTGTGCTTATATCAGGAGGATGATCTATACCTCTTCTGGAGAGATGCTAGCTCTCTGGACAGAACCACTGAGATTTCATGGTGAGATGTATCACAACTGCTATAAAATCACAATTTATCTGTTAAATTCCCTTTGACTGAGATAACACCTTGCCAGAAAACTGAAGTTGCTATGATTTTGTGTAACAGTACTCATGACATTTATGTACCCTTGCCTCTTGCATATCTGCCATGAACCAATGAGTATCTCAAGGCCAGAATGTAAAGGTGGATGATATTTACAAATCACAGCTTTTTCCATAATTTACTTTGTGACAAGCGCTGAGTCACGGACAAAATGAAATGCAATAGTGCTCCTTACTTTTCTGGAGATTTTCACATGTTTATAGCACAGCACAAGCATAGGTGAGCTCAGTTCCAGAGATGGTGGTGAGCTATTAAAGATGCCTGTGAAAATCCGATATGTTCACAAACACTATACTGTTGTCTCAGTCCTCATTTAAACCATTCCTGTTTTGCTGTTTATATACCTGTTAGCAACTACTATCTGGAGTGGGAGGGGATTATTTTTTGTTTTCTGTACCTCCAGTCATTTTGTTATTTTTATTTGTTCACATTAATTTATCTTCTGATTGTAATTTAAGTAGTGATTTATCACTGATAAAAAAAAAATGAGTGATCTGTCAGTGAGAAACTGTTTCTGATTTTCATTTTTCTATTTTTTCCTAAAATCCTGAAATGGATTTATAGAATTTTTTTGAGTTTTATTTTAGCTTTGCAAGATAAAGCTAGAAACAGCACTTAAACTTACAGTTGATCATCTATAAGTCATTTTTATGGTTGGCTTTAATACTTGTTTCCATGATACATCTCACAGAGACACCAGGCATTTTAAACATCAACCAACTATTGGCATTCAATGAAGCTCATTAGTTTTAATTGTATCTCTTTGTATGTCTATTATAACAGCACTTAAAGGCTGAAATTAATATTGTTCAGATTGATTTAGGCATCTAAAAGTGAGGTATGTAGACTCTATCCACAAACAATACAGACAGGCAATTCAGGAAAGCAAGGGGTGTCACCTGTCTTAACGGCCCTTTTGAGGAAGGGATGAATCCCTCTACAAAGGCATTTCTCTACTGGCCAAAGGAAGAGCCTTGTTTAAAGTGTTTGCGCTTTATATGCCTACAGTTGGGCAAAAAATTGTGCCCAAAATAAAAAATTACATCATCTCAATAAGTATAATCAGGGAAGGAAGAGAGTGGTGGAGGTGGAATCTCTCACACAAGGTTTCAGCAGATAGGAAACAGAGCAAATAAAATAACCAGTCTTGAGCTTTCAAGCCAATATTTTATTACAAGCTTTGCCATCACCTTTAGAGTCTGTGTGAGCTCTGCTGCGGGAGTTGGTGTAGGAAGTATGAGAGACGAGATGACCACCTGTAATGACTTAAAACTGGTGTGTTTATGTTTATCTAGTCAGAAATCACTGCTGTACTTCATGTGTTTTCCAACCAGTGCCACATCATTTGGTGTTGTTGGCTGCCCAGGGAATAGTATGAACTGGAGGGGGGGAATGTCTCATTCAGTCCCTACTAATGAACTCTCTTTTGCATTGCAGTTGACCTGGACAGGCTGAATGATGATGTGAAACGTTACAGCTGCACTCCAAGAAACTATTCTGTCAATTTAAGGGAGGAACTGAAGCTGACAAATGTAGTATTCTTCCCTCGCTGCCTCCTCGTCCAGCGCTGTGGAGGAAATTGTGGTTGTGGGACTTCGAATTGGAAATCCTGCACATGTGTGTCAGGGAAAACAGTGAAAAAATATCATGAGGTATTTTTACTCTTTTTCTTTTCTTTGGTACCTCTTTTGTTTATTTATTGCTTATGTGAATTCCAAAAGCTTTTCTCAGACCTATGTGTGCAGCCATGTTATTTATCATGTTGCATCTGCAGTGTGAAGATGAGCAAAAATTGCTAATCGTAGTGAATATTTAAGAGAATGCTCACTGTGATCAGTGTTATTCCTAAAGTGAAGGTTCTGCCTGGGCTTCCAGACAGGCTCAGGTAGCCTGAGGGTGGAGCATCCCTTAGTCAGTGGCATTGCTATTGCTGTCCATGCTAGATACCAGCTTGGTGCCTCGTGGAGCAACTTTCACACCTTATGCTGCAGTAAGCAGCTGTACACAAATGAGCAGTGGTTACAAACAACTATATATTTTTTTTCATTTTTTTTTCAATATTATTTTTTAGTAACACAGAGATATGTTCCTTGAGGCATTTAACTGTGCTTCCTCTTGGTTTACACTGTATCTTTTAAACTTATGATCACGCTAGGAAATGACAATTAAGTAGCTTGTAAACTCTCTTCCCTTCCAGATTTATTACCCATAGGAAGCAGCTGAATATTTCAGCCTTAGTTTTTTTCCCACTCAGCATTTTTTTTCATGCAAAACTCTGCATGAGAACGAAGTCCATTATATTTATTTGTAATCCATTCAGAACAACAAGTTTCCCTTGTTGGAGTGAACAAGGAAAGAGAATTAGAGATAATTTTTTTATTCTCTCCTCTGAATCAGCATTTTCAAAACCAGACAGGAACAATATTCACCAAGTGAACATAGGAAAACTTGAAAGGAAACTTGGTATGATCCTTTCAGTGTCTGAAGGTATGTAGCTGTGTGCCATGTTGACTTAAGTTTCTGACACATATCTCTTTTAAGAGCTTTGATTTGCCACTTGGCTTAAGTCTTCAGTGAAAGTGAAATTCGTGGACTTTTAATCTGGAGGTAATGTGTGCTCATAATGGCTTTAACTTGGGAGAGCCTAAGGCTGAAATAGCAGAAGTCTGCTGAAGGTCAGACAGTTTTCCTCACTGTGAATGGTGAGGTTACCCTTTTCCAAGGTAAGAGAGTTTTCTCACAATTAGCTGCAACATATGGCATACTCCACATCATCTAGGACTAGAGAATAGTTAATATTTTATTTAATTTTAAGCAAGATGCAGGGGATGACCCTGGTAATTACAGAGCGGAAAGTCTTATCTCAGTGGTAGAAAAGTTAATTGGAAAAAAATTAATAGGTATAAAACACCTAGATGACTGTGAGCTGATAAAATGAAGCTAGAATGTCTTACATATGAATAAATATTTATACAGCACCATACCATTGTACAAGAATGCTAAAAGGCCTGGCACCTCCTTCAGAGAGCTGATGGTCTACCAGACAAGATCAGTCATGGATTTGATAAATAGCAAAGCAGTGGAAGAGATGAACAATTTGCTACATAGGAGTGACTATCAGTGGGTGTCCCCGGTGTGGGGATTAAGTGTTATTTCATGTATGATCAGTCCAGAAGGAGGTGAACAGTGAGTGGCAAAAATGACAGATAACACAAGAGATAAAGTACTCTAACAGCATAGAAGGCTGCATGGGTTTTTCAGAAGACCTGTGAAACTACATATAAATACAGTTTAGAAAAGCAGCAAGCATTGGGACAAGCAATCTCAACTATTTATTCATATAGCACTGTGCGTGAGAGGGGAGGAGGGAGAAATGAGGGATGGAAACTGGACCAAAGGTCAAGTAGTGAGTCACTGTGAAGAGCTTCAGGAAAACATTTGTTTAGCACAGAGGTAGTGGGAAAAAAAGCAAGTGACAGTATTCTGCAGAAGCAGAGGTGAATAGAGAATAGCACACCAAGTATTTGTGTGCTATTATATTAGCACACAAATTTATCTTATTAACTATATTAGCACACAAAATTATATCTTACTATGGCCACAGATAAATAGGTGGGGTACTTGTATGGATTTTGACTGTTGGTGCTTAGAAGGATACAGGCAGAAGCATAAGAGATACATAGAAGCAGAAAATATACAGCAGTGGAGATACAGCAGAAGACACTTATCAAAGGCATTTTTAAGAAAAGTGGTTCAAAAGTTTGGAACAATTGCATTTAGAAAAAAAAATATCAATAATAAAGGACAGTAAAAGATACAAAAAAAAGAAAAAAAAGAAAGAAAAAAAAAAAAGAATACTACCTACAGGAAATTCAGGTCTTCCCAAATAATCTCCTTTAAAAAAGACCAAGTGCAGTCAAAGATATTGAAATAGAACTAATTTGAAATGATAAAAAGGATTATTTTTTTTTTGCACAGTAAATCTGTATGAAATTTCAAAACTTAAATATAAGAGTTGGGCATAATTCAAATTCAGAAGGATTCTGAGAGAATTAGAAGCAAAATATAAGCTAAAGAATCTTGTGTCACATCTGTGTCAGAGCTTAAGCCAACTATTGACAGCAGCTAGAAAAAATGTTGGTTGCAAACATGTTGTCAAGTAGTTATTTTTTATCAGCTGTTTGAGAGCATCTGGTACTGGAACACTGGAATATCACACCAAGTGGGTACTGGTCAGAACCAAGATGTCACAGCATACCAAATTAGTCACTAAAGTCAAGAAATTCAATATTAACATTAATACACCACTGCTTATTTATTTCACTGGTCCTTTGTTCTCTGAAAACTGTGAATTCAAAGCAGTGTTTCAGCTTTAGCATTGAATGGCTTTTGTAAGTTTAAATTTCAACTTAATCCCTGAGGGATGAATTAACAGCTCACTGAACAGAAATTTAGCCAAGTGGCTGCCATTAAAATGAGTGAAAGTCATGCAGATAAATTCATATATGACATACTAAGGTATATCCATTACTTTTAGTCCACAATATTTTCCACTTTATTATTATTATTATTATTATTGGTAGGGGCAGGTAATCAGTTTTATTCTTTATTCATTTTCAACTCTTTAATTTTATTTAAATGTCTGGCAGTAAAAGTGCAGAGGAGGGGCTTCTCGACATGCCGATTTTAGAACCATGTATCTGCTTTACCCTTTTCGAAGCCAATTTGAAACCCACTAGCTTTAATCAAAAAGCCTTTAGTTGCATGACAAAGGACAGAGTTTCACACTTTAAGAAGTTCCCCGGAGGTGTTAATTTTGTTAGAAATATCTGCCTTCCGCTCCAGGAGAAGGTCAACCAGATTCAAATGCAAGTCTCAATTACTTTGATGCAATTGCAAAAGACACCAAAAGTACAAGATAGTGGAGCAAAGGAATCGTTTATAGCAGCTGAAACTGAGTTGCGCAGATACCATTTTTTTTTTTTTCTTGCCAGATGAAATTCGCCTAAACACTGTCCTAGAGTTTCATCTACCAAATTTCTGGACCCACCAAAGCAGCTCACCCTACACATAGATATGTTTGTTCTAAACAGTAAAAAATGACTAGAAAACACATAACAGTTGTCTGTCATTTCTGAGCTACCCCGCATTCTGCATGAGGAAGACAAACAGGCAAATTTTCCAGCAGCAATGGGCTGCTTTTCATCTTTGCAGCCAGTGTCTCACAGTAACAGAGCTGCAGCATGCAGGCAGCTCTGGGGACACAAACGCCCGGCAAGCGTGTTGAGAGGCTTAGAGTCCAGAGAGATTTCAAGGTTATCGTCTTATGCTCATGATGTTTCTTAGTTCCTACTCAAAGCCTTACGCTGTACTCATCACCAAGGTCTCTGAGCACTCCCTCCTAGTATCTCAGGACTAATAGCAATCACATTTCCCCAAGCTGCTACTGCTGCTACAGTTCCTTGAACAGACTATAGCTCTTTCCTATCATGTCCAATTGAAGAAATAATGCAACAGCGGGGAAAAAGAGAAAATGAGAATGCCTCAGTAAGGGGTATATTTTTATTTACTGCCCTGGGAAATGCTAATAATAAGACCTTGGGGCTTTTTTTTTTCTTTTCTTTTTTTTTTTTTTTTTATAACTTGGAAGTCTGCCATAACTTTACCAAACTACTCAGCAATTTCCAGAAATAAAAGGGTTCGTAACTTGAGTAAACAGCTAGTTTTATGGGTGTTTTTTTTTTTTTGTTTTGTTTTTTTTTTCTTTTTTTTAACAGAGTCTTGTGATGCTCTTTGGTTTTCCACAGCTTCTGGGCTTGCTTGAAACGAGAGCTCATGGACAAATACTCATGATTTACCACATAGTTAGTGTCACGAACCCTGCAAACCAAAAAGGACAAGGGCTGGCAACTTCTCAAAATGCCCTTGACAGCCTACCAGAAGAGATCCTGAGTTACGGTGCAGGGCTCCATGCAAAGACAAAGCAAATCATGGAAATGAATGCAGTACTCCTTAATCAAATACTCACGTCTGACTTGCTAAAGGGAAACTGAAATGAAAGGATGTTTTCTATTGCAGTGCATTTCTTCAGAAGTGCCTGCAACTGCCCTTTAAGGAGAGAGGGACTCTGAAGCTGGAGACGACCCAGCCCAGAGAGGCCAGGACTTGGTGCAGCTAGATCTCCAGGAGTGCTTGTACCTCACAGAAACATGAAATCAGTATCCCCATCTTATTGCTGTAACTGATGAGATGTTAAATGAGTTTCCGTGAGGAATAAACACTTTTAAGGTAGCAACCAGAATTTGTCACTGTGTATAAACCTCCACTAACACTGTACTCTGGAACACAGCTAAAAGACACGTAAGGAAAAATAAAGTGGTGAAGCTGATTGCATCTCTCTTACCTACTTACTTTCTCAATGGGAAAGATTGATGCACTTTTCACTGTATGTGTTGCTTTGTTCTTCTGTTTTGTTTGTTTTTTTTTTGCAGCATTATAATATATTTGAGTTTCATGCTGACTGGAGTTTGCTTTCACAGGACATACATGCAAATAATTCTCAACCACAAGGTTTATATTAGTGTTAGTGTTGCAAACTCCTAACCACTCACTGCCCTGGAAGAGGCACCAGGCACCTTGAAGTACCTGCACA